TAAAACTAAAATATTGAGATGTTAATAACAAAAAAGGGAAAGGAATCTATCTGAGTTAATAACAAGAAGGGCTAGAATTAGTGACCTTAATTTTAAATTGACAAATTTTAAATTCGTCAATATTAATTTGATCAAACTATTGTTGGCAGCTATATTTAAGTTATTTATCTTTAGTAAATTAGATTTACCATTTTTATTGTTTACATTTAATGATGAATTATATGAAAAGGAATAACATTTTCATTAAAAAAATGTGATATTAATTATTTATGATATAACAATAACTTTATCCAAAATTAATCCTTTCTTCTCTAGCACTTACAAATTATGTTTTCATAAACTTATTAGATTAACTGCATGAAACAACACTAATTATTAAATAATATTGTAGAATTTATTTATGTAAAAAAATTTGTTCGCCGCACACTGAGGCAAGCATTAGTACTGATAATCTACCCCAAATGAGATTTATGATGAATAAATATTTCGGTGGATGCTGAAGAAATATACTACTACTAAAACATCAAATATATATATATATATATATACACACACACTACTGCTACTAGTATTAAATTAAATTTAGACAAGATTGTAGTTTAATAATGAGACAGTATTAAAGTCTGATCAATTGCACGAATGAAAAGAGTGTGCACCAAAATAGATGGGTTGTTGGGGGACAAGACCCCCTTACACAGCTAAGCCAAACGTTATGCCAAAATACCACCCTCACATCGTATGTCCATAACATGCCACTGCCCCACCCCACATGCACCACGCCAAAAACTTTTTCTATACCTTTTAGGCTATAACATTTTAAGCACGCACTAGAGACTACTGCTCACTACTTGCTGTTAATTAAATCAAAAAAGTGTTAATTATTGCTTGATAAGGGACTTCTGAAAATTAAGTATGAGTTTCTTCATCTAATAGTTAATATTTTATAATTTAACATACTTTAAATTATAAAATAAATTAAAAAATATTGCATTATAATTAACTCTGTATTTAAGTTGAGAGAAATGAAGGGAAAATAATTTTTTTTTTCTCCATTCCCCTCCATTCTCCTCATTTAAATAATTATCTAAATAGAAAAAAAAAAATTAAAGGGAATTTTTCCCCTTCCCTTCCCTCAAGTTTTTTTTTGCTAATCAAATAGAGAATTTTTTTACCATCGTCTCCCCTCTCATTCCAAACATACTATAAATTAATTAGTGATTAGCATTTTACTGAGATTAGAGAAGAAAATCACGAGTCTAGGATTGTATAACACCAAATATGCCTAGGATGGCATTGTAAGCATTCCGCATGAGATTTGGATACAACCAAACTTATCTTTATCCACCAAAAGGTAAAAAATTAATAACAGTGTTGATATTGATAAGTAGAATGCAAGTTCAATCAATTTTTTAGATTTTAAACCCTCAACTTTTGGTTTTATGGTAAAGACAAAATAAGCAATTATTAATTATTATTATGATAAGAGATAATTATTTTTTATCTGTTTGTTTATCACATAGCTTATTAATAACATAGTACCAATGAGGGGTTGGATCAAGTGATAA